ATATGTCTTGGTGTTGTCTTCCTTGGGTCCTTTGTGTTGGGAGATCTGTGCACCTCCATGGCTGAGAGACTTATCTCCTTCCCTAGATTGGGGAAGTTTTCAGCAATTACATCCTCAATGACTCTATCCCCTTTTCTCTCTCTTCTTCTGGTACCCCTATAATGCGAATATTGTTCTGTTTGGATTGGCCACGTAGTTCTCTCAGTATTCTTTAATTCTTAGAGATCCTTTTTTCTCTCTGTGCCTCAGCTTTGTATTTCTCTCCTCTAATTTCTATTCCATTTACCATCTCTTCTACTACATCTAATCTGGTTTTAAATCCCTTCATTGTATGTTGCATTTCAGATATGGAATTTCTTAATGATTGAATCTCCAACTTAAATTCGTTCCTGAGTTCTTGAATATTTTTCTGTACCTCTTTGAGCATGTTTATGATTTTTATTTTGACCTGTCTTTCAGGAAGATTGGTGAGTTCAGTTTCATTTGGCCCTGTTTCTGGGGTTTGTGAACCAGGTTCCTTTAACATTTCATATTTCTATGTGGCGCCCTCTAGAGCCCAGAAGCTCTAGTCTCTGGAGCTGCTCAGCCCTGACGAGTGACGTAGGGGGTTGCAGGTGCGTGGTGCTGGTGCCTGGTGGGAGGAAAGAGCTGTTTCCTGCTTCCTGGCTGCAGTGCGTGTCTCCAGTGTCAGAGCCAGTGGGCCGCGCACAGAGGTGTAAGCCTGTGTGTTTTGCGTCTGTAGCTGTTGTAGGCGGAGCCTCCCTCTGGCTGGCCTGACGCCAGTGCAGTGACTGCTGGTTTGCAAGCCAGTCCAGGCAGGCCAGGAGGAAGGTGCAGCAGGCTACGTATAACAGTGGGGGGCCTTGGAGCTGCCTAGCCAGCCATGGGGATGGAGCACCTGAAGCTCCTTAAAGTTCCCAACCTGCTGTGCAGAGTGTGCCCAGACAACCTTGTCCACCTATCCCTTCTCCTGTACAGCAAGCTCTGAGCAAACTCCGCCCCTCCAGCAGCCCTTTGGCTGCTAGGAATTCTCTCAGACCACCTGCCTTCCTTTGTCCCAGAATGGGCAGATGTGGATTCCTGTCCTCCACAAATGGCTGGAATCTCAGTCTCTCAAATATTCCACCTGTCTTAGCTTTCCAACCCCTCTAGTCTCCAGAGCACCATGCCATGTTAGTTTTGTGCTCCCAAAGCAGATCTCCAGGGCTGGGTGTTCAGCAGTCCTAGGCTACCACCCCCTCCCTGCTCCGTTTCTCTTCCTCCCACCGGTGAGCTGGGGTAGGGGAAGGTCTTGGGTCCCACCGGATTAAGGCATTGGTACATTACCCAGTTTTGTGAGGTCTGCTCTTCTCCAGGTGTATGCAGTCTGGTGCAGTCTTCTTTCCTGTTGCTCTTTTAGGATTAGTTGTATTAACTATTTTTCATATTACATGTGGTTTTGAGAGGAGTTCTTTGTCTCACCTCTCATGCTGCCATCTTGAATCCTCTTATCTGGTTTCTTCTAGCATTTTACTTAAGCAAATTCCAGACATTATATCATTCTGTATTTCAGAATGCATCTCTAAAAAGTAACTTAAAGAAACATTCACAATACCACTGTAACACCTAAATAAAATTCCTTAATGTTATGAATATTCAGTGTTTAAATTTTCAGTTTTTAAACATTTGTTTGCATCAGGATCCAGATAGTATCCAGATATTGAAATTGGCTGGTGTATTTTAAAAACTGGTGTCTTTTAAAAACTGGTGTATTTGTAGGTTTCCCTTTCATTGCTTCCACTTTTTACTTGCAGTTTATGTTTTTCTGGGTTGTGGATCCCACTCTCTGTATTTGACTGGTTACATCTGCAGGGCAGTTTAACAGTTTCCCTTGCCTGCTTGTGAATTGCTGTTTGGGTCTAGAGCCTTGATTAGATTTAGGGTTAAACTGTTTTTTTGGAGGGCAGTAAGTCTTTAATCATATTCACGTTCAAATTACTTATTTGAGGATAAGTAAGGTTAGTTCATGGGTGGTGGGGTTTTCTTTCAGGAGACATACAATGTTTGGGAGCGTCTCTTTTTATGGATCCATGCTAAGTGCCTTAGCCCACTGATCCATTAGATAATTCTATCATTCGTTCATTTACTGGCTGGAAAACTTATGTGAAGAGAACCATTCCCTCATCTATTTGTTTCCCATAAGGACTCATAGCAAAGGCAGAATGAATTATTGAATATTACGTTTTATTACATTCTTCAAAATAACATCTTCTAACTGACCAATTTTTTTTTTTGATATCATTATGAACTCATGGATCTAAACACATTTGCTACGTTAAAATCCTTTGCTCTTGTGGGAACTCCTCTAAGTTGGCTTCTGAGTCCTTTTGATACAATAGCAGTAGCCTTGACAACTTCCTTGCATTGCATAATGCTCCTGGATCATCTTGTACAGTCATTTCTCCAAGGAGTCCTGGTTTCTTTTAGTGGGAAATGGTATTTGGAGATCACAAGCTGACAAGGGGTGGCCATTACTGCTATGGCCATTGTTTTCTAGGCCTTTTCAGGGACTACACTAAAGGTCATATTGAGACTTCGATTCCAATTCAGGACTACAGTATTTTTACTTTTTTGTTTGTTGTACATTTGTATCTTCTTTTTTCCATACTGAGAAAACCTAGTTCTCAGAGACACTGGTGATGGAAGAATAAGATTAGAATGTTACAGTTACCCATTTGCTTTATCCTACTCACACAATAGTTGTGGAGTAACAGTACTAACTTTACTTGCAGCAGTATGATGACTGAAATACTAAAAAACTTTTTGCAGTTTTTTTCCCCCTTAGGATATCTTTTACTAAGAATGAGTGACAATGCTTTTAACATATTAGGAATTTTTAGATTTTCTCTGGAAACCTGCATTTCTATTTTAGTGTAAAAATGTTAAAAATATTTTTTCTTGAAGTAACTAGAAATTATGCAGATCTACTGAACTCTCTTCAAAACACTTGGGATGAATCTAAGATTCTTGAACCTCTGTAGGTGCAGGTTTGGTGTGGTATACAGATTTTATATTGATCTGTTTCCATTTTTTGAAGGTATTGATCTGGGGAAATCTGTGTCCTGAGTCAGCTGAAATGCTAATTTGCTGTCCATTGCAGTGGTAATGTGGTGGTACATAAACGTAGAATAAAACAACCATGGAAAGGATTGCTTAGTCTAGTGGATCAGTGCCAAGATTACACAGGTCATCTTTCATAAAAATGCTGAAATGTCACTTCTCAATTCGTTCTAGATAGGTTCATAATTTGTTAATAATTTTTAAACTTTGTAGGCAATGTATTTTGAGTAACTTAGAAAATGCAGGTTTTTTTGCCTTGTTACCATTTATGGAGTGCTTATATAGGTAAAATGTTATTGTAGGTATTGGTGATGCATGTAATAGCTAATAATAGATAACCCTAATTAAATGGTAGATACTGTTTTTTGAGCTGCACATCTGTTAACTCAGCCCTCATAGCAGCTCCATTAGTAGAACTGTTTATCTTAGTTGAACAGGCACAGAGACTTGGTCAAGGTCATCTAGCAAAGTGACCAGAATGACCTCAGGCAGCTCATGTCAAAGTGTGAGCACTTAACCAGCATGCTGTTGTGCTTCTCAGAACAAATTTAAGAAAGACACATTCTTTGGCCAAAGCAAATGAATTCTCTAAGGCAACAGAGTAATGGTTACGTATAGAGTCAGTCTTCCCTTATCTGGTTACTAGACTTATTCAGACTTTTTTATAGGTAAACTTTGCTTTTAGTTGGGAAACATGTTAGTGAAGTTGTAATATAGTCTCACTTAGTGAGCTCCCTGTTCTCTCATCACGTTAGTTTCTTTTGACTAGCTCTTGTCTCTGGCAAGTCCCTTAACACTCTAGGGTTTAGTTATCTTCTTAGTGAAGTTGAACTTACTAGTCTTGCAAGCCTTCTTGTTGCTGACTTTTATATTTCAGGATCCTTAAAAAAAATAGCGTTTTCTTTATTTTATTAATAACTTAAAAAAAATTACAAAGTTCATTGTTAGAAAATTTGGTAAAAAGAGACCATTATGAAAAACAAGGAATGTCCTTTCTCTATTTCTTAGCCCAAGTAAAATGACTGTTAACATGGTGGTATATTCTTTCCAGGATTTTTTTGTAGATATTTTTAATGAACATACTTATACATAATTGAAGTTATGTTTTAACATTCTATAATGAAAAATCCCCTAAAATTTCTAAAGCATTTTTAATGACTGTGTGATATTCCATTGCTTAGCTGTTTTAAGAATTATGTAATTATTTTATAATTGGGCATTTAGATTATTTTGAGGTTTTCATTTGTGTTCGTTATTTGCCTCTGGTTCTTACAATGTTCTCAAAATAGATTACTTGAAGACTTACAAGATTAAATTTGTGATTTATAATAAGATTTTTATATTTTATAGGGTTATCAGTTTGATATTCTTTTAATTAAAACAAAACTCTGATTAACTAGAGTTGAACTAGTGAGACCCTCAGATGAAGAGAGAAACAAATACCTTCAGCTGAGCAAGGATATTTTTTCATTCCTGCCAGACTAAGTTCTGGAATCAGTTCTCATTTACACCTGGTTCCTAATAAACGCTTATGTATGTCACCAGTAGTTTCAGAGAAATGTCACTTAGAAATGGGCTAGAGGCAGCAGTGCCCTGAAGAAGGTATTTATTATCTTTCCACTTTCAAAGGCAGAGAAGTTGATGAATATTAAAAAACAATTTTTTTTCAACAGTAAGAGCTACCTGAAAAGTTTGTGTGACTAATTTCTTTGGCAGTTTCTGTTTCTAAGAATTTTAAGATCAACGTAAAGCTCCACCCAGGATCCTCTGAAACATCTGCCCCAAAGCTAACATGACTGTTGGAATTTTTTGGACTTAAGTCTGTAGAATCTTTGAGAACTTTGGAAAAACATTTCCAGAAGCTAAATGTGATCGGTCTGATGTTTTGAAATTCTTTTTAGGCAAAGGAGCAGATCTGAGTAAGCCTCCATGTCGAAAAGCAAAGGAAATCCGGAAAGAAAGGAAAAGGTTGAAACTCATGCGGCAGAACCCAGCTGGAGGACTTGAGGGTCTCCAGGCTCCAGGTGGACCACCATCTGTGTTCCCACCAAAGGCCAAACACAGCCAGGCCCCATCACTGGAAGATTTCATTGTTGGCTCTTTGCCAGACAGTGGATCACACAAGTTAGAGGTACTTTGGAGGATGTTCTCTTGTGGTTGGTTCTGTTTTTTTGTATTTTAGGTACTTTCTTTTCATTTGAGGTTATACTATTTGACATGTTTGCTGTTTCAGTAATGGGAAATTTAAATGAGTTGGGATGAAGTAGCATTTGTGTTTACTAAACTAATTGCTGTTTGAGAAGACCCTTTTTTTTTTTTAAAGATTTTTAAAAAAAACTTAAGGCATTTTGGCTAATGAATTTGTGATAACAATTCCAGTTTTAGTATGTTAATGTGTAAGTGTTCTGGCTTTTTATATCCCTTGATTGAAATTTAGTAAAGTGAAAAAAAAACAGTATTTAAAATTAGTTTTTGGCAGATTAGTTTTAGATGATGAAAGAGAATAGATTACTGTTTTATCCATTCTGATATTCTGATCTTGATCAAGGTAGTTAATGATATTATATATGCAAGCCAGAAGTGAGAAATAAACAGTACTAAATTATACTACTGTAGTCTTCTCTTATTCCTATAAAGTTCTCTTATTGTCTCATAATTCCCCAAACCAATTTAAACAATATGAATTTTAGAGTATTCCTGTATTTTTCCCAAACTGATGTACATTCCAGATTAAGTCTGAATTTTTCAGTATAATTTTGGTATGTATAAAATTTTTTTCTAAAACATTAGCCATAATGATTTTTATCATATTCTCATACCTGATTAGTAACTGGTCATCTTTGGAATTTACAGGTTAATATCTTCTAAGAATATTACTTATCACTGAAGATCTGATATTAAAATCTTAACTTTGGTGCCATATAATCCTTAATACAACATATATTTTATCAGACATAAGGTTTAATGACTTTGACTGTTTTAATTCCTTGGCTACTGTCACTTTGGTGTTGACTCCGTCCTCCCCAAATTGGGAATGCCACCTAAATTGAGCACGCTACCAAAAATATTTCATGAAGATTGTTTTATCTTTTGATCATAAGTAGTAACATATGCAGGGCACCAGGTATACCTAACATAACAGTCCTTTAGTTGGCGGCTTTTACTTTTTTAATGTAATGACACCCAGGTTTATTGTCCACTGTGTGTCACTCTTTGTTCACAGAATTACTACTTATGACACACATGAAAAGTTTGTAATCATGCTGTTTTATTATATTACATTTGATTTTCTGTTTCACTATTTTGTTTTGATAACATGTTCCATCTGGTTAGTAAATAGTGTTCAAATAAATGTTAGCCATTACCACGGGCAGTTGCTGTTTGTAACTTACCATTATTTTATATATGAGGAAACTAAGGCACAGAGAATTTATTTACTTGAACAAGATGGTGACATTAAAATTTTAGTAAAGGAAATCCTACTTAAGAATCTTCATTCTTAACTATGCTATGAAACAGCAAACTTGTCCTTTACACTTAACTAAGAAAAAGGTTGTAAATTTAGTTAGCAATGATGGATGAAAGAGTGTCCAAAATATATATTCACATTTTTAGTCTTTCTGGTTTACTGAAGGTGAGTTGCATGCTGCTAAAATTGAAGAGTATTTATTTGCATTTGTTTCTTGATTGCCGGAAGTACTCTGCCATTTTACAATAGAAGCATTCTTACATAATTTTAATTTGGTTATAGAGCTTAGAAGTTAGACGGGATCCTTTGCTTTCTTGAGTCTATAAATTGAAGTAATTTTTTCTTTATTAACTGATTTTTAATGTTAAAATATTGTTATATGTTAATCCCTTAATATTTTGAGTTCTCTTTGGGTGGGAGTAACTGTTAATGCATTTTCCATGGGTTAAATAAATGAATTAATGAGCATTGTTTTTTTAACTCCTTCTGAAGGTGAGGGTGGTGAGATCATCTCCACCAAGTTCTCAGTTCAAAGCCACATTTCAGGAGTCTTACCAGGTCTATAAACGTTACCAGATGGTTATTCACAAGGACCCACCTGATAAACCAACTGTGAGCCAGGTCAGCAGGCCAAGTGTAATTTTTCTGGGCAAATGGAAGTTTCCCTTTCATTTGATGTCATTATGTGAATTGGTTTATTTATGGTACATTTTATTTATATTCAGTTTGCAGCATATCTGCAAAGAGATAGAACTGGATTAATGAACATTCTGAAAGTGCAAATTTTACCTAGTGCCTTAGTAAATGCCAGTCATTTATAATTTCAAAGTGGAAAGTAACACATAAACTGAATTGTCTTTATTTAAAGTCATTATGTTTGGATACATTTATTTAAAAGTTAGTAGTAAACAGTTCTACATTAAAATATGAGAAAAATGAAAAAAATGCTTTAGATTTTTACGGTAGGCATACTCTTTGTGCACATAGTTGATATGCTTTATCCCCACTTAAAAGTCATGTATGTATAGACAGAGTTCGTAACAACTAAATTGCTCTTTTTATGTACTTAGAAGCCCTACGCAACTGAGTGGGACTAGAAGAGTAAGATAGTAGAATGATTTAATAGCAGTCCTCATGTGTCTGCATTTTATAAATCAGATTACCCAAGAAAAATATGGAAAGGAGAAAAAGCTTAAAACCGTAAAGATAAGTAGAGTTGTAAAAAGTAGTGGCCATTACCAAAAATAGTGACTCTAGTGTATGCAGAGAATCACAATAGGTGGGTAGAGAAAAATACAAAAATGTCCTGGCCCGTATGAGTTTAAAATTTTCTTAAGTATTACTATTAGTGTAAAGTTAGCTTGACAGGATCTTCTGTGTCAGTCAGGCTGTTCCAGGGTTTACTCATTTCATGAAAAAGTCCAGCTGAGCTTTGGAAGTGGATTTGCGGAGATCTTACTCTAGCCTCACCTTCAGAAGCATATCATCAAGGTAGAGATGTTTCAATAGCATTTGCTTGTATTTTCCCTGCTCTGAAGGTGAGGTTAGTACCTGTCTCCTTTGATGACCCAGAGTTCAAGTCGTCCTTCAGCCAGTCATTTTCTTTGTATGTCAAGTATCAAATGGCCATACACCAGGACCCGCCTGATGAATGTGGCAAGACAGAGGTACCTTTCGTTAAATATTTTTTCCTGTTGATGAGCCTGTCTCTGAAGAAGCGTAATATACTTTCTTAATGCCATTTTCTTATCTTTTAAGTAGAACTGATGATCCTTTCAGTGTATATTACTGAAATTTGTGGAAATGAGTCACATGTGAGCATTTTAAAT